AAATTTAAATTTCAAGTTCATTAGTTCCAGTTAGATCAATTATCCCCATCAATAGGAGAGACTCTGAAAGGGGCAATAATCCTACTCTCTGTGAGAGACAAATAGGACCTAGACACCAAATGAATAAAATAGATGCTCATGAGATGCATTCTTGAGGTAGAATCATCTGGAGGAAGGTCCTGCTGGGTCTGATTATTCCCAGCTGCTTGATTTTGGTTTCATGAATTTATTTCTAAGATTTATTTTCACTACATTTAAATTTATACTTGTCAGAGGTAAGAAAGAACGTGGTATAACTGAGTTGCAATTGAAATAACCCATAGCCCAGAGCAACAAAGACACGTACATCCAAATCATCATTATTCTACCTCTGTGTAATCGCCTTTTCCAGCTTCTTTTTTATATTTACTTGTGTGTATGTGAGTATATGTGTACATGCACATGTGTGTACCATGGCATGTGTGTGGAGGTCAGAGCACAATTTGCAGGAGTGAATTATTTCCTTCTACCATTGGGATTATGTTCTACATTCAGGCTTAACACCAAGTATCTTTACCTCCTGAGCCATCTCATCAACTCCCAAGTTCTGTTTTATACACATTATGACTAGGATAAAATAATCTCCTTTTCAGGTAGTGTGACGATGAAGTCAGACTAAAAGTAAGATAGTATCTGCTCCACCAACACAGGTTCTAGAATAGAGAAGAACTGTTTAGTTGCATTGGTGATGGGAACTTACCACCTCCAGTGGCCCTATGCAAAACCTTTACTGCCAGCCTGCTCCTTGACATGCACATATTTGGCATCCCTTAGCCAAAATATTAGGGAACAGAAGTGTTTCAAGTTTCGAATTTTTGAGCTCTAAGAAGGCTTTACTTTTTTTCAGTTATAGTATGAATTTTAATCTTATTTTTAATTCTTCAAGAATTTCATGCAATATGTTTTAATAATATTCACCCCTAATCTCCCATCTCCTCCCAATCCACCCCTATTTCTCTAAACTCCCTCAATTTTGTGTCCTCTTTAAAAAGAAAACATTGCCAGGCGTGGTGGTGCACACCTTTAATCCCAGCACGAGGGAGGCAGAGGCAGGCGGATCTCTGTGAGTTCAAGGCCAGATGGTCTACATAGTGAGTTCCAGGACAGCTGGGGCTACAGGGAGGCCCTTCTCAAAAAGACCGAAAAAAAAGAAAAATCAAGTTCAATTTGTGCTGCTATACACTTTTGAGTCTGTGGCCATCCACTGAAGTATGGTCAACCTACCAGGAATCACACCCTTAAGGAAAATTGATCTCTCTCTCTCTCTCTCCTCTCTCTCTCTCTCTCTCTCTCTCTCTCTCTCTCTCTCTCATCAGTTGCCAGTAGCTCCTCAGCTAGAGGTGGCATACCATGCTCACTTTCCTTCTCTATGTTAGGATTTTTGTCTGACCAAGCTTAGCTTGAACAGGCTGGGGTATGCTGTCACAACTGCTCTGAGTTCATATGTGCACCTGCCCTACTGTTTTTATAAAACAATTTCCATGGAGTCACCCACCACCTCTTGCTCTAACAATCTTTCCACTCCCCTTTTCTGCAGTGACTCCTGATCCTTGGGAGTAGGAATGTGATATAGTTGTCTCATTTAGGGCTGATCATTGCACAGTCTCCTATTCTCTGTACCTTAACCAGTTGTGGGTCTTCTATGTTAATTGCCGTCTACTTCCAAACGAAGTTTCTCTCGTGGTGGTTGAGACATAGATTAGTCTATTAGTGTAACAATAGGCAATTAGGGATACATTAGAAGAGACAGTGAGGAAATTCAGAAAAAAAATGGGATTTTTTTTTGTTGAAGCATTGGAGAATTTGCATATACACAATAGAGTGTCTTGGGGGTGAGGCATAAGTATCAATAGGGAATTTCCATCAATTTCAAATGCACACATAGCCTGGAAGTAATTTTACACAATGGTACAATAATATTGCACACATAAAATCAAGTTTGACAATGTACAATTTTTAACTTGTGGGATCATGTTGGTGCTCAAATAATTTTTCATATATTTAGAGAATCTCAGATTTTATGTTTTTGATTAAGGGTGCTCAAACTATACAGCAGACAGGGCTGAGGGACTGTCAATATTCTTTTTTTAAAGATGTATTCTATTTATATTTCTCTGAGCGCCCATGTGTGTCTGCACGTGTACACACAGGAACTCACAGAAGCCAGAAGATGGCATCAGATCCTTTGGAATTGGAGTTAGCCATTTGTGAGCTTCCTGATGTGGGTATTGGGATCTGAACTCCAGTTCTCTGATACAACAGTGTTCAACTGAGCTCTCTCTTCAGCCCTTCAATATGCTTTTGAGTTGCGTTTACACTCATGCACTCAGTGCTACCCCTGGATGGCTTCCTCCTAATTCATAGAAGCACCTGGCTGTGCTGGAGCAGTGAACAGGAAAAGACAAAATACGTCCAGCCATGGCTGATGGAGGACGATGTCTTTCTCTTTCTGTCTCACAGGCAGAGCATCAATATGATGATCCCTCATGACACAAAGGCAACACCTGACATTCTGCAGCCTTGCACTCACATCTTAGTCCTCACCTCCCAGCTGTACAAATGAAAACTAATTTATGTTTATTGACCTATATCCACTGCATATAGCACTTGCTTTTATACAGACAGTTTCTTTCAGGTGTGTAGCACTTCTTTATACCTTGAATTCATCTTCTCCCTTTTAGAGAATGAATGTTTGGTTTGAGGGCACTGTTGACATAGAGAATGCAAAACAGATTCACTGAGCACTGGTAACTACCCCAAGTGAGGATGTTGAACACATGACTACACTTTGTTGTCATGGTGATTTCTATTACTTGCACAACTCTGGTGAGATGCAACAGTCAAGTCACATGAAATAGGGTTGTTACTTACAAGTAAACAGTGGTGATAGCAGGCATCTAAGAGTCACGGTGAACCAGGCTCCCAAGGTTCAGGAGAACTACAGAATGGATGTTGCCACGTCAGTGATTGCCCTGCTACACGGTGTCTTGGGCTGTCCTAAGGGCTGTACTCCCTGAATTTTAAACTCTGAAGCCTTAGGCATCTATTGAGCTAAAACATTGTAGGACAATACACACAGGAAAAGAGCGCAAGATGTTCTGGAATCTTCCTTCTTACATTTGTTAGGGAGCATGAAAACACTAGGAAAAAGACAACCAGACTCAATTCAAATTTAAATTGGTCAAATTTATTAGGACTATAGCTGGCCATGGTCCCTTAGTCAGATTTAGGACCCACAGCCCCCGAGGGGAAGGTGGAACTAACATTTAAAGGCAAAAACCACAAACACCATAGGAATTTCATCACACATGAGTAATGCCTGGTGGTCCTGAGTATGGTCAGGATGCCCAAGTTAGCAGATAAGCAAACTACAGAAGCCAAAGCAAGCTTGTATTACTTCTTCTCTTAACGAATTATAGAGACCTTGACAGTAAGGCACTTTGTGATTAAGTGCAGCTACTGTGTCTGGGAAACCCAAGGTCAGCTACTCCAAAGAAAGCACTCTTCTAAGGGGAAACAACTAAGTTCAGGTGCTTAACCTTGAGGCTGGCTGTTTTTCTAGTTTTGAAGTTTAAAGTGGCTGCTTTATATAAAATTAAGTTACTTTGGCTTCTTAGAATTTGGGGGGCTCCATTTGGGGCCATGACACCTTGACCCACTGCATTCCCAGCACATTCTACAATTGTTCTGAGAACTACTGAGATAAGACAGAATATCTAGTCACCACCATCCAGACACTTGTCCTAAAGCTGTGTTGTTTTGTTATCTAGCAATAAATGTGAGGCAAACTCTTAGGCTGGAGAAGATGTGATTCTCTTCTTAGTAGGTTCCCATCTCCCTCCAGGTCGCCTCAAGCTCTCCCATGTTCTGATTGCGCTGTCTGTTACCAAGATCCTTGCCTTTCTTGTCTGCTTCATTCATTGTTGGCACTCTACCCAAAAAAATAAGTCTCGGGTAGAAGCAGCCGGTGAGTATCGTGTGGGAAGCGTGAGGAGCTGGGATGGGAGAAATGCAGGTGTGTGTTCTTCCTTTGCGAGAGGAGTTGGCCTGAGGCAGGGGATACTGAGGCAGGGCTTTCTAGAGAGACCACCAGAGCCCTTGCTCTTTCTCTCGGTTCTCAGATCCATGAGTAACTCTTCACTGTATCCAGTGTAGATAATGATATCTAGGAGAAGGGTCTGTAAAAGAGAGAATATTGGAGAAGCGATGGGATGGAAGAGCTGTGAGTAGAATGGGTCCTTGAACTTAGAGAAGCAGAGTATCTGGCTCTGCTCTGGGACATCTTAGCAACCTTGGGTCTTCCCATTTCTAGCACTGTGTTTGTTTAGTGCATCTCATATGAAATGAGAAGCCCAGAGTCCCTTCCCAGGTGTTTCTAGTCACTTCTGTCTCCTAAAGATGCAGCTATCACTATCACGGATCCAGATCCTGAGGTGGACAGAACGGTGACTAGACAGGTAGGACCTCTCCAGCCCACCATCTTCCATACAGAGTACTCCCTCACACTCTCCACAAGTATATGCATACAGCCTCACTCAACATTTACTTCTTCCCAGGATGCTGAAAGAAAAGAAACACAAGAGGTGGCCTACACAAACTTGGATCATTGTCTGGTCACACAGCAAACAATCACTCCCTCTTCCAAGAAGCCCAAGAAATCCTCCACAAGTATCAGTGTGTACATGGAAGTCATGAAATGCTAAGCTCAGGTCAAGGGTTATCTGCACCCTGTGAGCCTTCAACGAGCAGTCTGACGCAGCCTTCCATGGAGACCACAGGCTTTTCTCCAACACAGTTTGACAGGTGCAGTGTAACAGCTGGACTCTGAAGACAGAGGTTGATAACTTGGGTACTAGCCTTCATTTTCTCAATATAGTTCTGAACCGAGCCTTCTCTACACGTTTGTATGGCCCTCATTGCCCACTGGAAAGAAACCAAACTCTATTGCTTAGTCTGTGAGTGACTACTTCACGTCACACCCTGCCAACCTCTACAACCTAACTAAATCTACTTTCTAGACCTACTTGAAGCTAAAACTATGTTGAGTAGCTCACAATTCCATACCAAAAGACGCCACCTCTTGTTATTAGTATATATTAGCTATACATAATCATGGCTCTCCTTGTAACATTTTCATATATGTATACAATGTACTTTGATGATACTCACACCCAGGTACCCCCTTTTCCCCTACCACTCCCACTGGTCCCCTTCAAGAGGCCCACTCTTAACTTTAGGCCTTAATACGTGTTCTTCCACATGGACCCAATGCTCTTTGTCAAAGTCTTCTCTCACCAGGAGCATCAACCTATTTTTACAGTTTTAATATAGACATCTCCTCTACTAAGAAGCACTCCCTAAGATCATGGCTGACATAAGGCACCTGTTTGTATAGTTACAAGGTTCCATTACTATACCTTTGGATAGTTATTTCTGGAAAGAAACTCATTAAGCGGCAGGAAGTAAGCAAAACCTCCCAGTCTCGGGAAGATCCTGAAACTGACAGCATTACCCAGGCCTTGTCCCCAAGGTTGTAGAAGCAGAAACAATTTCTGAGGAGAGAAAACCCTCCAACAAACCAATCTGCATGAAAGCCCTGCAGAGAGTACCACAGGTTCAGCTTCCCAGAGTCATCACCCATGCTGGGGTGGGCTTTTAGTGATGCAGCTGCCTCTGAGTCACCCGTGTTCCTGTAATCACCCCCTCACCTATAGCCCTGTATGAAATCCTAATAAATCTGCTGCTTCACTAACTACACTTGGGTGCTTGCCTCTTTGGTCCCTCACTGGTGCCCCATCTGGGATGAATATGTTTGCTCACATCTTCCCCAGGACAAGTCACACACTATATGTGCACACTACCCCATATGCTCACCTTTGCATTCTTCTGCCTGGACTGTGAGCTCCTTCTTTGTCTGTCTGGAGTTTTGAAACAAGGCCTTGCTTGGGCACCTTCCAACTTGTGATCTTTCCTCTTCAGCCTCCCAGTGTTACAGAAAAATTCCAAGGCTGACGTGGCCCAGCAAGAAATCACAAACCATACTCAGGACATGGAGGAATTTTATCGTTTATTATATCTGGGCCCCAGAGAAACTGAGGTCCAGACCAGAAATACAAGTTTTTATAGGATTGCTCACATCACCATTGCTGATAATCAACATGTGGGTTTGAGACTTCCACCACAAAAGTGTATATGTCTCTTGGGCTATTATAGGAAATTTAAAACAATGTCTTTACAAAAGAACAGATATTTGGGGCAAGTGTAACATTTCCCAGTAACATCATAAATTGCTGGTGCTTATAAAATATTATTTAACAAATATGACATTATTTGATAAATAAGACACATTATACCAGGTGCTCCCTCAAGACCACTGCAAGGTGTAGCACTGTTCAAGGCACTCACAGACTGAGGTTTTGTGGGTTTGTCCATCTTATCTTAAGGCTTAGAGTGGGCAGTTCTTCCTTCTTACAGCTTTTAAACACAGAGGCTTACAAGGCTAAAGCCTCAAAATGTTTTTACAAAGTTCTGTTATTCCTCCATACACCAACAAGCACACTTACGATTAGGCCTATTATTAGGAGTACATAGGTTCTTAGCAGATACATTTGTTTATACTTACTCATCTACCACACAGAACAGAGTTATACTGAGGTCATGGTTCATTAGTTCCACATTAGGTTAATTTTTCCCCATCACCAAATGTTGGGATTACAGGGACTGTGAATTTCTTGAAGAGATAATCTTATTTTTAAGTCTCTATAACCCAAGTTTCCTTCCAAGAATGCAGCTTAGTGGAGCTTTCAAGTGTGATGTGTAAAGTACAATTTCATGCCACTGTAAAGAAAAATCAATTCAGCATTTTCAGGGAGAAGGGTACAACTAGAAAGTGTATGCTAACCAAAATAATCTAGACCCTAGATTTAAAATTGTATGTGTGCTTTTATGTTTAATTTTTAAATCAATTTTTAGGCTGGTTTACAAAGTATTGCATTTCATCATGTCACCTTTATATATGTGTCATATTTTGTGCATGTGTGTTTATGTATATGGGTGTGTGTGCATCACAGAACTAGAAAGGGGATCATGAAAAGAGAAGAAGAGATTTTTAGTGTTTGTTCTTTGATAATATCATACATACATACCATGTATTTTTATCATATTTAACCCTCAGCCCTTCTCCTAACTACCCCGAGATCCAAACCCCATCCCTAATTCCCTCTCAACTTCTTTTTTTTTCCTTTATAATCCACTGAGTAGAATTTGTATTTCCCATACACTTATGGGCTTGGGGCCATCCACTAGAGTGTGGTTGACCCACCAAGACACACCCTTAAAGAAAACTGACTCTCCCTCTCCCAGAAGCTAACAACTGTCAAGAACACTCCTCAGCTAGCAGTGGGGATTCATAGTTCTCCCCCACCCCCGCCATGCTGAAGTATTGAGTGGTTTGACCTTGTACAGATCTTGTTCAGGCAACCACACCTGCTATGAGTTCATGAATACAGTGGCCCTGTCATGTCTGGAATATACTATTTCTCTCCCATTCTCCCTGACCTCTGACTCTTGCAATCTTTAGTCCCCATTTTCTATGATGATGCCTGAGCCTAGAAGTCGGAAGAGTGATGTAGAGATGAAGAAATCCTAAAGCAATTATAAAATAGAAGATGCTAGATAATGGAATACATATAACACGAAAGAAGGGAACCAGCTGGATTAGGGAGAGGTGATGCAAAGTCTTCCAAGAACAAGTCCAGTCATGCCTCCAAATCCAAAGCTTGAGTGATCCAAAATTCTATATGGAGACAAACAATAAAATCAAGCCATCTCAATTAAAGACAGAATTCATCATATAGATATTCTGAGAGAGGAAACAAGTCACTGGTATCAGAACAAGAAGACACTATTGCATCAGCAGCTGCAGATACGCAATGGCAGCAATCTCTAAAAAGCATATGAGAGAAAGTACCACATTATCAATGGGCATTGGTGGTGTTCTGTTCAATCATGAATTCTTTCGTCTGTTGACCTAGGAAGACATACTAAGAGTCATGTGAATTTTAAAAGCAGAACACTTGGGAACATTTCCTGAAACAATGTCACTTGTATATAAGGAAATAACAAGAGAGAACCATCTATCTGAGGTCTCATGGTCACCTTTCCCCTCGTGTTGAGAAAGTAAGAGGTCATGAAGGATTCCTAATGATATACAGATGGTATCAACACCCTTCCACACATGTATCTGACTTAAATGAAGACTGGAGCAGCCTGTTCCTTAAGCCTGAAGAGACGTGTTCTCTCAAATGCCACAACAAGGAATAGCAAAGTACCAATTTACTATTATCAGGGCCATGAACACTCGATATAAATAAATACGATAAATGGGCTCCAGGATAGATACAGAAAAACACAGTGTGAAAGAGGGAGAAAGAGACAGATAGAGAGAGTGAGAGGAGAGAGAGAAAGAAAGAGAGAGAAACTACACTACATGCATGTGCACAAGTATCATATTGAACCCCGTTATGCTGTACAATTAATAGACATTAGCAAAAACTAAGCAAATTAATTTCAAAAAGATGATGCTCATGAAGCCCCACTCCTTCTTGATGGATTATTAAGTTAGTGGGTTTTGGGAGAGGGATGTCCTTTTCTTCAATTATTAATAAACTTCCCATGCTCCAGTCAATAATCTCCCATTCATACTCATGCAAGAAACTCTAAGTAATCTTGATGGGTCACACACAAAATGAAGACTTGAGAAGAAGTGTTCAGGGGAGAAGGGGAGGGATCAGAGAGGGGGTGAAAATGACTAAAATCCATTATATACATGTATGAAGCTGTCAAAGAATAAAATAAGGTTTTAAAAACTTATTTTAAGGGTGTGGTAATGGGACTGTAAGACTGCAAGGCATTGTTGCAAGAAGAGACAAACAGGCTAAAGGAATGGGACAGATATTTTGTTACAACCATCACTACCATTTAGAGGTCTGGGGCAAGGGAACTGCCATGAATTTGAGGTCAGACTGGGTTAGGTAGGCTGGCCCCAGAGTGACACCCTGTCTCCAAACACCAAAAACAATTAATATAGAATTTTCTTTAAAAAAAAAAGAGCAATAAGATAGGATCTAAAATAGGGAGTCAGCAGTTAGAGCGTAAAGTCTGGTCTCCTCTTATCCATTTTATATATACATTTTTATTGGAACACAACCACATTCATTCACTTACTTATCTATGGCTGGTTTCATGATGCTATGAAAAAACTGATCAGTTATGAAAGAGACTGTCCAGCCCAGTTTATATACTGTACAACCCTGCACAGAACATATTTGTTGACACTGTAGTATACCTGTGGTTGAGTAAAGATTCAAGCAAGTTTTTTTGTGATCCCCTACACCTGGCCTAAAGTTAAGATCTCTTCTTCAGTCATCTGGATTCAAGACAATATTTTCTTTCTTATTTATTTCTTGTTTCTTCTTTCTTATTTCTGGTCTTTTGGTATGTTTTTATTGAATTTTAGTGCGTTTCATACCAAACATCTTAATCATCTTTATACCCCAGCCTCCATCTGCACAACCCCCATATCCTCCACCCACCAGATTTCATGCATTCTGTCCTAAATGTTAAGGCCTAACAAGTCAAGGTTTTGCCTTTTTAAGAGAAGGGTCTCCCTATAGCCCCAACTGGCCTGGAACTTACTATGTAGACGAGGCTGAGCTTGATCTCACAGAGATCTGCCTGCCACTGCCTCCCAAATGCGGGGATTAAAGGCGTGCGGCACCACACCCGACTTCAGGACAGTATTTTCTAATGAATTTGACGTTAATACGCTGAAAAATTCTTAGAAGAAATCACAGTGAGATGTGGAAATTTTCTGAGGCTATTTTAGTATTCTTGTCCCAAAAGAGGATGTTAACAAACACATTTATCTCAAAGGTCATGGTTAGTCAGCTCAAGGTGTCTGCTGCTAATGACAGAGGTCCAGAAGAAGTTCCTGGAATTGAACTAACTAATAAATATCTCCTCCCTCTGGGAAGCAGTATCATTTTTAAGCATAAATGATCGCATTTCAAATCAGATGGTTCTACTTCTACTTCTGGAATCCATGAATTCTACATCTGCTCATATTAAACACCCACAAAGAGCATCACATAGACGTTATTATCTCCAAGGTCCTCCATTAAATGAGAACAAAGAGATAAGATATAAATCAGAAGGGTGAATATTAGAACTTGGTCAGATTTTTAGGCTAGCACACAATTTCATCTTGTTATCTTCACCTGTATGGATTTCTACATTTTATTCTCATTCATTGCCCTCCCCAGCTGCCCCATCCCTTGCCCCATGCCCCACTCTGGCTGGTTCTAAGCCTTCCCCAAGTTAGTCCTCTCCTTTTATATTTACATTTAATCCATTACTCTATTTCCCACTTCCTTTGAAAACTTTTCCTCCCCTCTTCTGAACCGCTTCCCTATTCTCTCTCTCTTTCTCTCTCTTTCTCTCTCTCTCTCTCTCTCTCTCTCTCTCTCTCTCTCTCTCTCTCTCTCTCTCATAGACAGGTAGACTACAGACAGATATAGAGGTAGAGATTTGTATTTTTTTATTTAATGTATATTTCCTGCATGTGTGTAAGTGCACCCATGTCCTGCAATGCCCGCGGACGTAAAAGGGAAGCAGAGTCCCCTGGAACTGGAGTTAGAGATGGTTGTTAGACACCACGTGGGTACTGGAAATCAAACCCTGGTCCTCTGCAGTCAGTCATCTAACTACTGAGCCATTTCTCTAGCCCTGGGTTAGAAATCTGGGTTCCACATATGAAGGGAAATGTGTAGTATTTGTCATTCTAAGTTTGATTTATTTTGCTTAACATAATAATTTCCATTTCCATCCACTTTGCTGCAAATGTCATGATTTCATTTTTCTTTATGGTTGCATAAAATCCCATTTTGTGTATGTGCCACACTTTCTCTTTTGATATTATCAATTCTTTGACACTTTCATTCAACGTATTTTGAATGTGTTCATATTCCCCCATCTCCACCCTTTCCTTACTATGCCAACCTCACGTCCTCTGTTATTTTTTCCTTTTTTTAAAGGCCTACAGAATCTATATGTGTCACCCAAATTCTCTTGGATTTGCACTCATCCCCTGGAGCCTGGTCAACCTACCAGTTGTCACACCCTTAAAGAAAACTACTCTCCTTCTCCAAGTTATCAGTTACCAATAGATCATCAACTAGGGATGAGGATTCTTGCCCATGTCCTCCACCCACACTGGGCTGTTGTTTGGATTGGGCTTGCATACATAGGTGTTGTGCATGCTGTCACAGTGCTATGCATTTTCTTTGTCCATTCTTTGTTGATGGACATTGGGGCTGGTTCTCTTTCCCAGCTATTTGAACAGTGGAGAAACGAACACGAGTGTACAGTGTCTCTGTGGTATGGTGACTCTGAATCCTTTAGGTATATACTGAGAGTGGTATAGCGGGGTCTCATGGTAGTTTAATTTTTTAAATTTTATTTTATTTGGATGAGTGTATTGCCTGTATGTATGCCAGTGCATCCACGTCATACAATGCCCACAGAGGTCAGAAGACGATGTCGAATTCTCCTGGTACTAGAGTTATGGACATTGTTAGCCATCATGTGGGTGCTGGGAACAGAACCCAGGTCCTCCAAAAGAGCAGTCAGTGCTCTTAACCACTGAGCCATCTCCCCAGCCCCTTGCTTAATTGTTTTAGGTAATTCTATATTGATTCCCATAGTAGCTGTACAAGTTTACATTCCCCACCAGCAGTGAGTAAGGACAGTGGAAGATCAATTTTATGTAGTAATCACCATCAAATTTCCATGTGACTGAAAGTACATACGTATAAATTAATGAAATACAATGAAAGAAAACACAAGCTTGCACAAAATGAGGCAAAGGAAGCTGTATTGTCTTCTCGATGGTGGGAAGGGCTCAAGACTTCCAAATACCTTGCAGTTTATAAGACAAAGGTTTAAAATCAGGTACTGATCATAAGGCTTCACCTCTAGTGGCTGGCTTCCATAGTACTGGAAGGAAGTGTTGCGTACTGCTGGATGACAAAAGTAATCATCAACCTTACCCAATTGTTGAACCCTGTGAGCTACAACAACTGCCCTGGCAAGATATGCCCACTCCTGCAATAGTGGCAGAATGTTATGGGAGTAATCAACTACTTTCTGCTTAGATTTAAGGCCCACTTCACAAAGTAGAGTCCATACCTGCCACTGATATAAGGATCAAGACCCTGTACCTAAACAGGTTACAGGCTATAGGAGAGAACCTACTAGTATTATTCAGCTAGATGGACACAGTTTCCAACCGACTCCCAACAACTTGTTATGCTTACAGATCAGTCAGTGCACCTCTCACCACAGAAGCTTCTTCTTGCAACAGATATTAACACAGAGACACACAACTGGAAAACATGCAGAAAATAAGAGACTGAGGAGGGTTCTGCCCTAAACAGGACTCCTATATCACACCCTCTTCTCTCAAGGCTCAGAGATCATGGATCAGGGAGCAGAAAGATTGTTAAGAGCCAAACAAAGGTGATGAATGAATACAAGGAAACAGTCCAGACACAACAGGGCAGTTGCACATGTAAACCCACAGGGCTTGGGACAGCATACATAAGACCTGCACAAGCCCAAGCCAAATTTTTTTAAAAAATGGATGGGGGTGGGCAAGAAGCTGCAGCCCTAGCTGAGGAAAAATTGGCAGTTCTCAGAGACAGAGTCAGTTTTCTTTAAGACGGTGATGCTGGGTAGGTTGAGCAGGATCTAGGGGATGAACCCACATCCAAGAAATGAATGGATATATTCATTCATCCAGTCATTTTGGAAACCCAAATTAGACTTGATAGGCCTTTAAAATAGTAATAATAATGGTAATAAAGTACATGAAGTTAGGGAGGAGGAAGTAAGGTAGAAGTTGAGATGGGGAAGCAGCCCTGACTATGATCAAAATATATTGTATAAAATTCTCAAGGAATCAATAAAAACACATTTTTAAAGTTTAAAATAAAATGTAAGATTCTTTTGAAAACATTTTATTGTCTAAGCATTTCATAGACTGCTGTAACTTCATATGAGCAAAGTCCCTAGGAGCCTGTAAGATTCTACTTCCATATGGTCATGCACTTCCTCCCCTGACTCTTACAGTGTTCCCACCCCCTTTCCTGCAAAGGTTCCTGAGCCCTGGGTTCACTGCCTTCTGTTGCATGAGGGAGCTTTATTGATGAGAGTTGAGAGATGCATTCGTATTCTCTCTACCCCTGCTCCACTATGTTCCATGAGTCTTAGGTGTAAAGGTTCCACTGTAGATGTGTCACTTAGGGTTGGGCAACTCACAGACACTTCATTTCTTTGTGTGACCAGTTGTGGAACTCTGTGATAGTCTCCACAGTGACTGCATGCACAAGACCCATGCAAACTCAAGCAGACAAAACCTTAGCATGAAACTGTGGAAATGGGCAGCAGGCCCCAATGTTAGCCAAAGAAGTATTGGAAAGTTGATTACAACTGGGTGAGGAAGAGTTGATCTTCTTTAATGGAGTGATTCTAGATAGACTGACTAGATCTCAGTGGATAAACTTGCACTGAGGGACATCAGGGTCACTAACTGGACTTGATAGGACTTAAGACAAATGACAGAATGCATGAAATCCCATGGGGGGTGGGCTATGGGAGGGGGCCAATGGCAAGGGGGGTATAAAGATGATTAAGATGTTGTGTATGAAATACACAAATATTCAGTAAAAAAATAAGAAATTACAACTCTATATGCTAAATATAATAAAGAATTTGGTACTAAATTTTGATTAAAAGAATTTCATATATGTATACAATGTGTGTTGATCAAGTCCACTTCTGCATTCCCTCCTTTCCTGTTCCTCCCCTATCCCCTGACTTTTCATGTTTTATACCCCACTGGGTTCATTTAGTGTTGTCAGTATGTGTCTGGGTGTGGGCCCATCTACTGGAGCATAGGTGGTCTTTCAGGGGCTACATCTCCCAGCAACTATCAATGACCAATGGCTCCTCAGCCAGCTAGAGGTGAGTATTCATGACCACCTCCCCACTCCATGCCAGTATTTTGTCTGGCTTGGTCTTGCCCAGGTCTTGTGTATGCAGTCATAACTTATGTGTCATCTTGGAGATTCATGGACTGAATTCATTTGCTTGGGCTTGATCAGACCACCTTAACAGCAAGATATAGAGGAATCCCTCTGGAGGTATTCATCAACTTTAGTCTTCCATTTGTACAACTGTCCTAGACCTAACACACCAGGATCTAGAAAAGCCAAAGCCACATGCTCTTGACCAATGGTCCTATGAAGAAAATCTCTCTGCAGTTTTGTTCTGTCCCAGCCCCTTTCGTTTGTAGAGGAATCATAACTAAACGTGGATTTGAACACCACTAGACATTGCTTTGAGGAAAACTCTCTTGCCTGAAATACAAATAGGAGAATTCTTGGTCTCTTCCAAGAGTCCACCCCAGTGCAACCCAGAACTAAGTATTTCAGTAAGGGGCTGTTCCTCTTTCTTATGAAGTAACAGATGTAGAAATCCTGCAATGAGGACTCAGACCTCATACTTCCTGTGGATCCTACTGTCTCATGAGTGTCTGTCAACTGCTAATACATACCACTGGGGTAAGGCTACATCAGCATCATGGCCCCTCAGGACACCATCTTCCTGTGTCTCGGTGAGTCCTGAGATTAATGTGGGTGAGTAGGGAAAACAGGGATCCCGCAAAAGCTAGAGCCTCTCTTAACATAAACACTCGGTGATTTTAGAGGCAGGCAATGAGAATCTAATCTCTCTAGCTAGGATGGCTGCAACTATGTCTCTGTAAGAATCTGAGCTGGAGTGTTGTTGCCTCTATTCAATCCATGACTGTCTGGAATTCTTGGTAAGTCTGAGATTCCTGAAAGTGAGAGCTTGAGGAGCTGAAACTTAAGAGTGAACCTCAAGACTGTGTTTACTGTGGAAGAAAAATATGTTTCTAGAGATGGATGGATACATGATAGATGATAGATAGATAGATATAGATAGATAGATAGATAGATAGATAGATAGATAGATAGATAGATGATAGATAGATAGATAGATAGATAGATAGATAGATAGATAGATAGATAGATAGATAGATAGATAGATAGATAGATAGATAGATAGATAGATAGATAGATAGATAGATAGATAGATAGATAGATAGATAGATAGATAGATAGATAGATAGATAGATAGATAGATAGATAGATAGATAGATAGATAGATAGATAGATAGATAGATAGATAGATAGATAGATAGATAGATAGATAGATAGATAGATGATAGATAGATAGATAGATAGATAGATAGATAGATAGATAGATAGATAGATAGATATGATAGATTAGATAGACAGATGATAGATGATAGATAGTGATGATAGATTAGATAGATGATAGATAGATAGATAGATAGATAGATAGATTGCCTACATGATACATAAATGGATGACTGATGATATAGATGATAGAGAGATGATAGATAGATACAAAGATAGATAGATAGATGATAGATAGATAGATAGATATGATAGATTAGATAGATGATAGATGATAGATAGATAGTGATGATAGATTAGATAGATGATAGATAGATAGATAGATATGATAAATTAGATGATAGATGATAGATAGATAGATAGATAGATAGATAGATAGTGATGATAGATTAGATAGATAGATAGATAGATAGATAGATAGATAGATAGATAGATAGATGCATAGATGCATAGATGCATAGATACATAGATACATAGATGGATTTACTCTGCATATTATTATGCAAGGTGATTTGTACCAGAGGTTGGAAGCTGGAAGGTTAATTTTTTGCCAATGTCTCTCTTCCAGTGTTTTGTCTGGGTCAGAGGATTCAGGCACAAGAAGGTAAGTGTCCCCTACCTCCCTGCCCCATGCCTTACATACGTACAGCAGCTCTGGATAGAATGAATGAAAAGACAGTCTTAAGGCCTGTTAAATTCCATTTCTATTTCTTCTTTTAATTGACTCTTTTGCCTCGCTTTAGGAACTCCAGATCCCTCTGAGGTTATGGTCTTGAGCTCTGTTAGCCAGGTCTCCAGAAGGAGGCTGTACTTTATTAAATGCTTACAACCATGAAGATGAGGATGAGGAAGTTGTCTTTGCCCAACATTCTTCTTATGCCAGTTCCGTTTTCTTTTCCATAATCTAATTCTCACAAGTCTCTTTACTTCACTCATTTAAAGAGAGGCTGACTTATCCAGCCTTATTGTACATTTTTACATTCTACCACAATGCCAATCACTATGCAGTAAGTACTTAGGTGAGCACCAAGTAGTACTAAGGTAAATACTAAATAGTACTAAAGTGAACTCTAAATAGTACTAAGTTTTTCCTGGATATTCTGTCACACCAATTCCTACTTTGATCTCCTAGCAGAGATGAACCATACATTCATCTATATCACCTCTCTCCTGTATCCTTCTAAACAGTTTAGCCTGGGTTATTTGTATTTTTAAGGGTGACCCTCAAAACTGTGTTTATAGTGGTCTATCTTAGGTAGCTTTCCAAGCTTCATCCCATCCTATTCACCCTGATTGTATTCATATTCGTGCTCTCTCTCTCTCTCTCTCTCTCTCTCTCTCTCTCCTGCTTCACCAATGCCAACTTTCACTGAGTTTCTCCTTCACTTGTTTTTATGAGTTCTAGCCCTTGCTATCTATGATATTCCAACCCTACCTATCCACATGTCCTGAGAAATTCCTCCACCTCCCCTCTGAACCTCCACACCTGTCACCTGATCCTTAGTTCTACAGTTTTAGACTGTAGATCACATAGCCACACCTAGATACTTATGGGAATTTTAATTGCACAAATTACATGACAATATAACACTTCAATATATGCATACAGTATGTACTAATCAAATCCAGGGTAATTAATATTTCTACCGCCTTAGTATCACATTGTGCTTGGAGCCTTCAAACTCCTCTCATTTGAGATGTGAGAAGCCCCATTCCTGCTCCCCTGAGGGGGGCCTGAGTGTACACACATGTGTGCAGGTAGGTATGTGCACAGGTTCCCTTGGCTCCTGACACTTCTCCAGGACCATGAGCTGGCCATTGAGCCTAGAGCTTGCTCTATGGCCTTCTCCCTCTGCCTGGATCAGCCAGGGCCATGGCCTCATGGACATCTTGAGCTCAGTCTCAACACAGGCTAGTAGTGACATCTCAGTACCCTTTATCTACCCCCTACAGGGTAGATGGAGGTCCCATGAGAACCTCTTGCTCCCACCCAACTTCTGGAAGTGTAAGTGAAGGATGTTGTAACACCAAGCTGTCTGGGAAGTGGTTGTTTACTCATAAAATACATAGTAGATTATTGAAAACTAGTTACTCTGCTATACTGAGGAATACTGGCATTTCTCTAAAAGTGCTTTTTTACTAATTATTCAACTTCCCTCACTCTTCTCAGACTCTAGTGACAACTATTCTATGCTCTGATCAACATTCCTTGTCATCATCATTTATTGTTTATTTAGTCTTATATCTACAGAGTAAGGTAGGACATCTGGTACATAGTAAAATTTCCATAAACATCTCCTGATTGTTTGATTGATTGATTGATTGATTGATTGATTGATGATTGGACATTAGAATTATGGATAAAATTATGCATCTATTTTAAACTGTATATAATCTTGGAGGGTCTCATGAGGCCCCAGCCCTCATTGTAGGTCTATAGGCTGTAATGGGTGCTGGGAAATGGAGTACTATTTTCTTCAATGTTGGAGCCACTGATAAGTTGCGCATGTTCCAGTAAATAATCACCAAAGTTCTTGCAAGCAACTATAATTAAACTCATTGGGTCAAAAAATCATCAAAGTATGAGAGGGCCTGTTGAGAAGAAGCGAGAGAGAGAGAGGGGGCGGGGGGAAGGACATGCAGTACTTTGGTTCTGGTTTCATGGTGCTCAGGATCAGGATCAAACTCAGAGCCCTATGCATGCTAGGCAGCACCCCACCAACTGACCTATATCCCCAGAACAGATAACGATGCATCTTGTTAAAGGGAATCTACAGGTTTTGAGTGCTCCCTTACCTCTTCTACATCAGGGTTAAAGCTGAAAACAAAAGCCAAGATGCAAAATCACTTGCTCAGAGCTAATCAACAGGAATGAGTCAAAACCAAGAGGCTAAGCATCATGTTCTTTTTATTGATTTTTTGCAAATTTTATACAATATATTTTAGCCAGGCATGGTGGTGCACACCTTTAATCCCAGCACTAGGGAGGCAGAGGCAGGTGGATCTCTGTGAGTTAGAGGCTAGCCTGGTATAGTGAGTTCCAGGTCAGCTGGGGCTACAGGGAGACCCTGTTTCAAAAACACACAAAAAAAATAAAACAATATATTTTGATCATACTTAGACCCCCTCCCCTTACCTCCTCTGCCCTATTTCATGTGTTCTATTACACATACATATATATGTATATAGGCCTATTGAGTCAAACTCATGTCCCCAAGTGTCTTCAATATGAGCCCATCCACTGGACTCTGGTTAATCTATCTAATCACACAATTAAGGTAAACTCTTCCTCTCCAGGAGCTGTCAGCTGCCAATACTTCCTCAGCTAAGGTTGGGGCTTCTTAGCCACTTCCTCATTTCTATGCTGGGATTTTTGTCTTACTTGGGTGTGCATGGAACTTCCGCATGCTGTCATCATTGCTGTGAGTTCATGTGAGCAACTGACCCGCTGTCTGGAAGACTGTTTCCTTGTGGTCATCCACCACCTCTGGCTCTTATAATATTTCCACTCCCTATTCCACAACGATCCCTGAGCCTTGGGGGGCAGAGGTTTGATACAGGTGTCCTATTCAGGAATCAGTACTCTGCACATTAAAAAAAAAACTGGGCATGGTTCCAGTGGCAAGGCAGAGACAGGAGAATCCCTGGGGCTTGCTGACCTTCCAGTCTAGCTAAATCAGAGCACTTCAGGGACAGTGAAAGACCTTGGCTCAAAACAAATAAGGTGCAGGGGCTGCAGAGATGGCTCAGCAGTTAAGAGCACTGGCTGCTCTTTCAGAGGACCAAGGTTGGGCTCCCAGGATCCACATGGCAGCTAACAACCTTCTGTAGCTCCAGTTCCAGGGGATCTGACACCCTCTTCTGGCCTGCACAGGCATTGCATGCATGGGTGCACTTCAAAATAATGCAGGCAAAACACTCCTACACATAAAACTAATAAAAACAAGTAGAATTTTAAAAAATAAAGTGCAGACATTGTTTCTTGTTATGTAGCCTTTAGCTATACGTATGGACTCTTAAAGAATTATATTGATCCCTTTAATCTTTGGTTATACTTTCCTTTTGGGTATTTAAGGCCATACAGTTGGCCCGGGATAAACCAATTTATTTTTACTCTTAAGGTCATTTGAGAATCTCCTCCTCAGGGGTCACATGGGCTTGGGAGGATCCCCTGGCTCCTTTCTTTTACCAGTTCCGTCTGTGTGAAGATAAGTCAAAGGTCCTGCTCGACTATGGCTGGCTTCACTTGGAAACATGGAGAAAATGTTTCCTCTCTGTTGACCCCTCTCTTTGTAGACTGGACACTGGTTCAAGTCCATCTCCTGGGGTCTCCATGGCCTCCTTGACCAAGAGGACAGGTGACTCACCACAGTTACAAGACATTTTGAGAGATGCTCCATAGTCCCCTGGAACTTAGTCAACCTTGGAGGGCAAGGAATAAAAACTGTCCTTTAAGTCCCTCTGACCAGATTGATATACACCTCAAAGTATAGTAGATTTCAATGGTAACATTTTTCACCTCTTCTAATTAACATGAAGCAAATTTTTATGCTTCTTCCTCAAATAAAACTCATTTTTTAATTTGATTGTGTGTGTGTGTATATCATACAGAACATCCCAAACAATCTTATTCATCTATATACCCACTTCCCAAATGGCACCCTCCCATAGTCTCCCCCCTCCCCCAACTGCAATCCATATACTCTGTCATCCTGTTACTGTCCACTGTGCTGTCAGTGCTCCCAGCCGTTCCCCAGTGCTTGTCCATCTGGTGAATCTAGTCAGCCTATGTAGAGATCCTTGTTTCAGGAACATCAGCTCTTCCTCATCTAGCAGCAACCAGTTGTCAATATTCCTTTAGATAAGATTGGGATCTGCTGTTCATTTTCCCAGTTCTACGCTAGGTTACTGTCTGGGAGTCTCTTGGGCCTCCCTGGCCAATAACCCAAAGGAAGGTATCTCCTGTCTGGCATTGTTTTTTGTTATGCAGCCTTTAGCTATACACATGGCCTCTTAAATACACTGATGACTTTATTCTCTGGTTATACTTTCCTTTTTGGTGTTTAAGACCATACAGTTGGCTCAAATAAACCAATTTATTTTTACTCTTAAGGTTGTGCAGTGCCCATAGAGGCCAGAAGAGGGCATTAGAGCCCATGGAACTGGCGTTGTGGGCAGTTGTTAGTTTCCATGTAGGTACTGGGAACCAATCTCAGGTCCTCTGGAAGAGCAGCCAGTGTTCCTAACCATTCACTGAGCCATCTCTCCATCCCTGGGAAATATACATACATACATACATACATACATACATACATACATGCATGCATATGTATATATACATTATTAAATCATATATTATAAAACATACCAAAAATACTTTGAGTGGGTAGGGTGTTAAGTGTTTGTGTGTGTGCATGTGAAGGCCAGAAGAAAACTTCAGGTGCTGTTCATCCTCAGGTAACATCCACCTTCTAAGTTTTATTAAATTTGTTCTTTGACAGTTTTATACACATACACATACACACACATACACACACACACAGAGTGCATTCTTACTGCTTTTAAGTCTACTCTTTCTTAATATTGTATTGAATTTTTGTGCATTTCATATAATACAACTTGATCACATTTAGACCCCCTTCCCCTAACTTCTCCCCCACCAGAGTTCATACATTGTCATATATGCTGAGGTCTATCAAGTCAAATTTGTGTCCCCAGATGTCCCTTGGTGTGAGTTCATCCACTGGAGCCTGGTCAGCCTATTTACTCCCTTAAAGATGATGAATTCTCCCTCCCCTGCTGCCCATCAGTGCCCACTCTTCCCCTTCCCTACAAATCTTTTCCACCCATTCATTCGTTTTGTTTTGTGACCCACTGAGTTTAACCAGGACTGCCTGTGTGACCATGAATCTCATACTGTGCTGGTTACTTTTTGTCACCTTGACACAAACCTAGTCTCATCCCTGGGAAGAGGGAATCTCAATTGAGGAATTCCCTCTATAAGATTGACCTATGGGCATGTCTGTGGGGCATTTTCTTAATACCTAAGTGATGGAGGGCCCAGCCGTCTGTGGACAGTACCATTCCTAGGCAGGTGGGCCTGGGCTGCAATCAGAAAATTAGCTGAGCAAGCCAGGGGGAGTATCGTCAGTCAGCAGCCATCTTCCATGGTCTCTACTTCAAGCTCCTACCTTGAGTTCCTGTCTTGCCTTCCCTCGATGATGAACTATAACCCATATGATGAAATAAACCTTTTTCTCCCCCAAGTTGGTTTATGTCAGTGTTTTATCACAGCAACAGTAAACCAAACTAAACAAGAGACTATCCTTCAGAGGGGCTTGACCTCATCAATGTCTGCCCTTCTCCCAGAATCCATCAGTAGCTAGCAGTTTGGAGTGGGGGAATGTAGAGCCCCATGAGCCCCTCCCCATCTGATTGACAGTCCCAGTCTTGTGAAGCCCCATTGTGGGCAGCCACTGCCGTGGTGAGACCACGATTGCAACGTTTGTGTCATGCCCCAGGTCAGCTCTTCTCCCTCTGTTCAAGCTCTTACACTCTTTCCATACCCTCTTCCTGCTGATACCTAAATCTTAGGGCAGGTGGTATAAATGCCCTGTTTAGATCGAACCCTCAGTCATCACTTATGCTCAGCACCTCGAGCAGTCCTGTGTCTCTGCATTCAACCCCATTCATTGAAGTATGATCTCTCATTGGCCTTGGATTCACTAATCAGGCTAGGCTGGTTGGCCAGCAAGCCTCAAGGCTCTCCCTGTCTTTGCCTCCCACAGTGCTGGGATTACATGCGTGCCACTCTTCTGGACTTTAATGGGCTCCAGGAGATGAGACTCAGACCCTAATGCTTGGTTTTGTTATATTTTTTATTATATGCGCATGCCTGTATGTAAGTGCACCTGTGTTGTGCAATGTCCACAGAGGTCAGAAGACAGCATTGGATCCCCTACAACTGGAGTAACAGCCATTAGCCACCATGTGGGTGCTGGGAACCAAAGCCAGGTCCTTTGATCTTAACAGAGCCCCAGCTGCTCTTACAGAGGACCTGGGTTCAGATCCCAGCACCCACATGGTGACTATCAACCATCTGTAACTCATTTCAGGGGATCCAATGTCCTCTTCTGGCTTCCATGGGCATTGCATGCATGGGTCCACTTACATACATTCAGGCAAAATACTCATAGAAAATAGAAATAAATAAATCATTTAAAAGTCTTAAAGAAATAATTATAGGTTCTTTGAGGTTTAATTCATGTCCCCCAACACAGAAGGTATGAAATGGCTTCTTCAAGACCACGGCTTGAGTCTGGACTCTGCTTCCTTTCAGAATTTCCCATTCCTGCTATATCTGCCTCCCCAAGTTCTGTGATCCCCTGGAATGGGTCGGTGAGGATTCTGTGCCGTGGAACACCCGAGTCCTTCCAGTATCAGCTGTTTACCATAGAAAACTCCACCTTCAAGGTAGTGCAGACACAAATGGGATTTCAGAAGGCAGCTGAATTCATCATCAACCACATGAACACAACCACAGCCGGGTGTTACCAGTGCCGATACAGGAAGAAGTACAGCTGGTCAGAGCAGAGCCAAACCCTGGAGCTGGTAGTGACAGGTAAGAGGACGTCCAGGTCCCAGCCCTTTGCTGCTCTTTGTCTTCATTTTAGCAGATGTTATTGTTGGTGTTGTTATGGGTTTTGTTTGTTTGGGTTTAGCTGGTGTTTTTGTTTTTGTTTTTTGGTTTTGGTCTTTTTGAGACAGGGTCTCCCTGTAGCCCCTGGCCTCTGCCTCCTGAGTGCTGGGATTAAAGGTGCGTGCCACCACACCTGGTTTGGGTTTAGGTTTTTAATGTTTTGTTTTGTTGTTTTGTTTTGTTTGAGACAGGCTCCATGTAGTATCAACTGACCTGAACTCATCACGTAGACCAGGCTGGTCTCGATCTCATAGAGATCCACCTGTCTCTGCCTGCCAAGTGCTGGCACCACCACCATGTCTGACCTGGGTTTTTAATTAGTTTTTAAATTTTTAGAGGGGGAAGAAAGATCATAAGGAAACAGAGGCTTCCAGGCCTCTGGGAACTTGCTCATATGAACTTGCAACAGTGGTAACAGCATGCACAAGACCCATGCAAACTCAATCAGACAAAAATCCAGCATAGAACTGGGGAAATGGGCAACCTTAGCCAAGGAACTATTGGCAGCTGATTACTGCTTGGGTGAGAGAATGGCTCTAGATATACTGACTAGACTCTAGTGAATGAACTTACACTGGGGGACGTCCAGGTACAAAGCTGAATCAGATGGGCCTTAACATAATGACAGAATGCATGAAATCTGGTGCGGGAGGAACTATGGGAGGTACAGATAGGGGAGGGGTCTAAATTTGATTAAGATCTATTATATGGAATGCACAAAATTCAATAAAAATATACATAGAAACAATATTTGGGGGGCCAGAGAGATGGCTCAGTGGTTAAGAACACTGACTGGGCTTGCAGAGGACCTAGGTTAAGTTCCCAGCACCCACATGGCAGTTAACAACTGTCCGTAAGTCCAGTTCCAGGATAATCCAACGCCCTCTTCTGACTTCCACTGGCATTGCATGACACGGGTGTACTTACACACATGCAGGCAATACACTCATACACATAAAATAGTAAATAAGCAATATTTTATTATGAGAATTTCATACAATGCATTTCTACCACAGTCACCGTCCCCCATCTCCTCTCAGTTCTACCCCACCTCTCGACCCCTCAATGTACTCTCCTCTTTCTTATTTTTTAAGTCCATTAAATTCTATTTTTATTGCCCAAATACTTTTGGGTGTGGGTTCATCTCCTGAACTGTGGTCGACCCATCAGGGGTCAAGGCCTTGAAGAAAACTGAGTCTCGGGGCTGGAGAGATGGCTCAGTGGTTAAGAACACTGACTGTTCTTGCAGAGGACACAGGTTCAAATCTCAGCACCCACGTGGCAGATAACAACTGTCTGTAACTCCAGTTCCAGGGATCCGACAGCCTCTTCTGTCCTCCATGGGTGCACTTACCTACATGCAGGCAATACACACATACATGTAAAATTAAAATAATAGATAAAATTTTAAAAGAAGAAAACTGAGTCTCCCTCTCCCAGTAGCCATCAATTGCTAATAGCTCCTCAGCTAGGGGTAGGACTTTGTGCCCACCTCCCCACATATACACAGTGCATACTGACCACTCTCACTCCCTACAACCACTGGGAACAATCCCCTTCTCCCCTACAGATCTCTCTCACACATGCACATTCATGTCTATTCATTTTGTTATGTGATCTACTAAGTTTAACCAAGGCCATCTGTGTGACCATGGATTTGTAATTATCTGCTGGAGCCTGGTGGATTCGTCAGTAGGTACACAACAGAATCTATCAATAGTCAATAGCTCAGAGGTAGATGGCAGGGCCCTGTGAGACCCTCCCCCTTCCTTGCCTAATTGTGGATAGTGCTGGTCTCATGTGGACCCAGGGCAGGTAACTGCAGTTGCTGTGAGGTAATGATTGCAGTGTTTGGACTGAGTCTAGAGATAGCATTTCAGATTGGTTTTACCCATCTTCTGGATCTTATGTACTTCCTGTCCCCTCTTCTACAATACCGTCTGAGCCTTGGAGGGGAAGTGTAAGTGGCTTATTTAGGACTGGTCCCACAACATCATGTATTCTCTCAGTCTTCGGCAGCTGTGAGTCTCTGCTATCCCCAACATTCACTTTTTATGTGTATGCGTGTTTCACCAGGACGTATGTAAGCCCACCCATGCATGCAATGTAGGAGGATGCCTGGAAAGGGTGATGGATCCCTGTAAAAGTCTATCACATCATCTGGTTCCCAAAACTGAAATTAGACAAGGGATCCTTGGAATTTTCTCTGCTCAAGAGCGTTTTCACTGCCTTCTTGATTGCTTTTTATTAGAAGTTCAGCGTTTGAAGTTCACAGAGTTTACATATGATAAGCACTCAAGCAGCACAAAACCTAGAGGAATTTTCCCATCATAATGGAGAAAGAAGCACAGCACGCCCAAGGCTGTGGAGACTGGCCAGTAACACATCTCCTTGGATGTATGTAGAAACATGAAAGGGGAGCCACACCTGCCCTGGCATCCCAAGGACAGCTTGTCTGGTCTTCCCAGCATTCTGGGAGCAGACAGCCCCATCCTCAAGCCTCTAGTCAACAAAGTCCAGAGAAATCTGTTAACTCTTAGTGAACTGAGTGCTACTGTCCTTAAAGGACAAGGGGGATTACTACAGATTCCCTAGGAACAGAAGTTTCAGGTGGTTGTTAGCTGCCGTGTAGGCGTTGGGACCCCAACCTAGGTCCTCTGCAAGAGCCAGCCTCATCCATTCATATTTTTAAAATAGTTTATAAGTTTGTAGAGAATTCAAGACACCGTTCAAAGACCATTTCCATATCCACAGTGTCATCTCCCTACTGTTAACATCCAACATCAGCATGGAATGTTTCTTATCATGAGTGAGCGAATATCAATACGTCATTCTTAGCTGATGCTCAGTTTATTCAGAGTTCCTTAGTTGCCGCCTAAGGTTCTCACCTACTCCAGAGCTCCTTTCAGGATCTCATATCTCATTTAGTCTTCTCGTGCCTGCCATAATGTCTCGTTTTGGAGGACCTTGGCAGTTTTGAAGAATACAGGCAAGAATTTTCTGGGACTTCTTACTCTTAGAAGTTGTCTAATGTCTTTCTCATGACTAGACTGGATCATGGGTCATTGCAGTGAAGACCAGAGGACAGGTGTCTGTTCATCATGCTCCATGAAAGTCATAGACTCTCCATGCATTTGACCTTGAACCTCGGGTGAGATAATGTTTGGCGGGGTCCTTCTTCTCTCCCAACTTTCCATCACTCACATTCAAGAAGTAGGAAAATAAGTTGACCATTCCAGTTCCATCTTGTTCTAAGCTGTGTCCTTAGGGTGGCCTGGACACTGTGTTCCACTGTGTCCATGTCCTCTCTCTGATGACATTCTTCACACACAATGTCTCTTTCTCCACCTTCTAACATAGCTCCTTGAACCCTAAAGATATGATCAACCCTTTCCCTCCAACATAAGGCCCTTCTGGGTTTAGAGACTAGATTGTTATCACTTGGAAATGAAGCCTAATCTTAGTCATGTAGACTACACGTTTGCAGGAGCTTAGGACAAAGTGGTTTTGTGGTTCCCAGGCCCCACACCTTTGGAGAAGTCCCCTTCCTCTTGCACAGATGCAGAAAGGAGATAGAAATGGAGATAAAGGAGAAAATATCAGATATAAGTACTCGTAAATTTACTACACCATTGTTCACAAGAGCCAAGATATGAATTCAATTCAAATGTCCATCAAAGCTGAGAGGCTAAAGAAAAAAGAACACACACACACACACAAATTACTATTCCGCCTTCACAAAGAGAGAAATCCTGTCATTGGCATCAGCAGAGTTAAACCTGGAGGACTTTAATGCCATGTAAACTAAGCAAGCACAGAAAGTCAAACACCACCAGATCTCGTTTAAACATAGAATCTCAGAAAGTTGAATTCACGTAAGAAATTACCAAGGAATATATAATGATTTTTCAAATAGAAGCAGGAAGCTGGAGCGGTGCCACTGTGACTAAAAGCATGCACTGCTCTTGCAAGGGCCTGAATTCAGTTCCCAGTATCCATGTTCAGTGGCTGATGGCCACCACTAGCTTCAGTTCTAGGGTATCAGATGCCCTCTTCTGGTCTCTGTGGGCAACTGCACTCACATGCACATACCCCCACACAAATACATAATTTAAAATAAGGCTTTTTAAAAATCAAAGCAAACAAAATGCAAAAAAAAAGAATGATGAATAAAATATCATATTCTTTTTCTTTTTCCTCTCACTGCAAAAGGGAAAAAGAAAGGTGAGTTCAGGGCTAGGAGGGATATAGCTCAGTGGTACAATGCTTGCCTATAGTATGCAAAGCCCTGGGTTTTATCCACAGAACAAACATCCATGCATATATACATACATACATCATCGTGTGTGTGTGTGTGTGTGTGTGTGTGTGTGTGTGTGTGTGTGTGTGTAGTTGAACTCCTGGAAGTAGAGAATAGGACAGTGTTTATCAGAGGCTGGTGGGTTGTTAGAAAGATGTTGTTCAAAAGATACAATGTATCAGTTAGACAGGAAGAACAAATACCTATAGTACATCTGAAGATAATAGCAGTTACAGTACATTTCAACTGTTCCCACCACAAAAAAGTGAGGTAATACATATATTAAGTAGCTCAATCTAGCTATTGCACAATGTGTGCATGTATGAAAACATTAAGCTACATGACTAACATATAAAACTGTTTTCCAGTTTAAAAAGTAAGTCAGGAACAGTACACACCAAGAATCAGGGGAGGAGAGGGGAGAGAAAGTGAGGAGAGGAAACCAGAAAAAACTGGATATCATTGGTACACACCAGCAGTCCAGTAACTCGGGAGGCTGAGGAAGGAGGGTTATGAAACCTAGGCGACATATCAAGATCTTGTCTCAAAAACGTAGACAAAGAAATTCATAAATAAAAAGTTATACAGTGTCTATTATGCATGAGGCCCTGGGGACAATCCCAATCATAAGTGACTAAATAAAATTGTTTTTTTCTTGTTTTCTTGTTTTATATTTTCAGTTGTGCTTTCACGTTCTCATCATACATACATGACATTATGCATCTACATAAAATCTAGGAGCCACAAATGAGGGAAAACATGTAATATTTGTCTTTCTTGCTTATTAATATGATAATTCCAGTTGCAACCATTGTCCTACAAACAGTATAATTTTGTATCTCGTCATAACTGAAAAAAATTGCATTGTGCATTGTGTGCCACATTCTCTTTACACATCATTCTGTTGACTGGAACCTAGGTTGATCCCATAACCTTTCTTTTTTGAAAAAGAGTCTCACTACGTATACCAGAATAGACTTGCACTCATGATCCTTCTGCCTCAGTCTCCCAAATGCTGAGGTTACAGTCACACAGCCTAATACCTGGCTGCAAATTTTTGCCCTTGCAAAAGTGATAATCTTTTATTCAACTTATTCAACTGCAAATAATTTTAGTTTTTTGAGAGTCTCCTTGCATCCCCAACTGGCCTGGAACTCACTGTGTAGACCAGGCTGACCTCAGTTTTACAGAGATCCACCTGCCTCTGCCTCCAAGGTGCTGAGATTAAAGGTGTGTACCACCACACCCAGCTCGTTATAATTTTTTAAAATTTTATGTGTATGAGTGTTTTTCCTACATGTATGCAAGCACATCCATGCATGCAATGTCCAGGGAGGCCAGAACAGGGCATCGGATCCCCAGGACTGGAGTTACTGATGGCTGTTAGCCATCCTGTGGGTGCTGGAAACTGAACCTGGGTCCTCTTCAGGAGCAGCCAGTGCTCTTAACCACTGAGCCATCTCCAGCACCTCAAATGCAAATAATTTTTTTGGTCTTTTTGAGACAGGGTCTCCCTATAGTCCAAGCTGTCCTGGAACTGACTATGTAGACCAGGCTGTCCTTGAACTCATGGAGATCCGCCTGCCTCTACCTCCTGAGTGCTGGGATTAAAGGCGTGCACTACCATGCCTGGCTTAAATGCAAATAATTTTTAAGAACAAAGTTTGGCTAACAGCTCACTGCCTTCTCTTTCAGGCTTACATGACAAACCTGTCCTGTCCACAGACCAGAGCCTTGTGTTGATGCCAGGAGAGAGCATTTCTTTCCGGTGTCATTCTGCACACGTCCCATTTGATAGATTTTCACTGGCCAAGGAAGGAGAAGCCTTGCTGCCACAGCACCAGCATGGGGAGCATCACAGCAAGTTCACCCTGGGTCCTGTGACCCCTGACTCCACAGGGAACTACAGTTGCTATGGTTGGAACAGCAGCAGCCCCTACGTGTGGTCAGCCCCCAGCGACGCCCTGGAACTCCTGGTGGCTGGTAAGTCTACTGCAGCCCAGCCCTGTGTTCTCCAGCAGGGCTGCCTCCCAGGCTGGGGGGGTGGGGAATGTGAGGAGGTACACTGAGACAGAAGAGTGGGGCAGAAAAAACTCTCTCTCCTGAGGAATACGTAGAGGGCTTCTTGGTCACCCCATGTTCGTCCTGCTTTTCTGACTTCTTCCAAAATGCACCCTTCAGAAACCTGTGGTCCATTTTTTATCTTTTACTGTTTGATAATTTCATATAATTCATTTTGATCATATTCACTTCCTGCCACCCAACTTCTTGCAAGGCCAACTCCTTCCCTACCCACTCAACTTTGGGGTTTCTGGGTTTTTTTAACCCATGGAGTTCAATTTGTGATTACCCATATGCTCCTGGGTGTGTGATCATCCATGGCTGACGTACCAGGGATCACACCCTCAAACAAAACTGGCTTTCCCTCTCCCAGCAGCTATCAATTGCTAATACCTTCTCAGCTAGAGATGAGACTTCCTGCCCCCACACACACACACATTCACACTGGGATTTTGTTTGGCTTAAGCTTGCATAGGTCTTGTGCATACTGTCACAACTGCCAAGAGTTCATATAGTCAACCACCCTGCTGTGTTCAGAAAAGACTGTTCCTTTATTTGCATCCATTACCTCTGGCTCTTGTGATTTTTCCACCCCCTCTTCTGCAATGATCCCTAAGCTTTGGGAGGAGAGGGTATAATATAAATATCCTATTTAGGACTGAACATTCTTCAGCCTCTTTTTTAAAATTATTTTATTTTTAATTATGTTTATGAGGGGGTAATTTGCATATTATTACAAGTGCCCATGGAGGCCAGAAGAGGGCATTGGAGCCCCTGGAATTGGAGTCATAGGCAGTTGTAAATCACCTGACATGTGTGCTAGGAAATAAATTCAGGTCCTCTGCAAGAGCAGCAAGTGCTCTCCAGCCCCCTGGTCTATTGATAAAGGAGAGGGCAATACTCAGAATCACGTCCCCAGGAGCTGTGTGGAGACAGCCAAACCAAAGGCTGGTACAACACTTTTGTTCACAATCCTAGTTATAACTAGCAATTCTTAAACTCATCTTCAGATTCCACTAAGAGTGACTGGGAAAAATCAAAAAACTGTAACTTTAATCATGAGACACATTTGAGAAAGGGTCTCACTATGCAGCCCTCAGTTGCCCAGAACTCTCTCTATATATAGACCACCCTGACCTCAAAATTGTAGAGATCTTCCTGTCCTGCCTCCCAAGTGCTGGGATTAAAGGTGTGAGCCAATACACCCAGTGAGACTTGTTTTTCATATTGTTTTCTTCAATGTATATTTTTATTCAATTTTTGTGCATTTCATACAAAACATCTTAATCATCTGAATACCCCTCCCTCCACCCTACCCCACCCTACCACTCCCCACTGGGTTTCATGAGTTCCATCATACATGTTAAGGCCTACTGAGTCAAGTTAGTATAACCGGACATCACTCAGTGCAAGTTCATCCATTGGGGTCTAGTCAGCCTATCTAGAGTCACTCGCTTAAAAAAAATCAACTCTCCTTCATCCAACAATAATCAGTTGCCAGTAGTTCTTCAGCTAAGGTTGGGGCCTGCTGCCCATTTCCCTAGTTTAGTGCTGGGTTTTTGCTTGAGTTGGCATGGGTCTTTTGCATGCTGACACCATTGTTGCAAGTTCGTATGAGCACGTTACCAGAGATATGAAAGTCTCTGTTTCCCTATGTTCATGAATCAACCCTGGCTCTTACACTCTTTCTGCCCCCTCCTCCACAATGGTCCCTGAGCCACGGGTGGATGAGGTTTAACATAGGAGTGCTAACCAGGGACACACACTCTGCAGTCTCTTATTCTCTACAGCTTGGCCATTTGGGGCCTTCTGTGGGCATCACATTCTGTTGTGTATGGAAACTTTGCTGGTGAGAGTTGAGGGCTGCACTAGGATTCTCTCTAGCCCCTGCTCCACTATGTTCCATGAACCATAAGTGTAGAGGTTCCACTTTATGTGTCGCTTAGGACTGGCATCTTTCAGACACACATTCTCTGTGTGTGACCATTGTGGAACTCTGTGACAGTCTCCATTGCAAAAAAGAAGCTGCTTTGGTGAGTGGTGACTGGTACACTTGTCTGTAAATATAAGCATCCATATTTAGCACACAGTAAGAAACTGCATTTGTCTAGAGATATGACAGAGAAAGAGTTTTCTCTAGGACCTATGACCTCTCCAGCCATGTGTATTTGACTGTGTTTACAGTGCCACCCATGAGTTCCCTCTCATTGAGAGGGCTTTAAGTCCAATTAGATAGCTGCTGATTACCCCCCAGATAACAGTGCCACTACTGTACCCCTATAGTTTGTTGTGTTTGTCATTGTTGTTGAAGCTGGGGTTGGACCACTGATTGATTTTTCTCCCTTAGTGCTTACATAGTGTCCTCCAAAACTATGAGAGCCAGTCTTCAGGGAGGAGGCTTCCAGGTCAGTTCCAGCTCCATTGCTGAAGTCTAGTTTTTCACATCACCTAAGCTTTATCCTCTCCCTCTCTCTCTCTCTCCCTCTCTCTCTCTCTCTCTCTCTCTCTCCTCTCTCTCCTCTCTCTCTCTCTCACCTCCCTCCTCCCAACCTTCTTTAAGTGTCCCCATTTTCCCCCTAGATAATACTTTGTCTCCTATTACCCCCCGTCTTGAGTGCCTTCCTCCCCTTTATTCCCAGGGTCCTTGTGTGTCCTTCCAAGTTGAATACCCCTATTTTCCCCCATGTCCTTCCTGTTTCCCCCATCCGTTTCCTACTATCCCCTCCTTTCAATTTACCTCTGTCCTTTCTATTCTCCTGACTCCTGCTGTTACATTAAGATATATACTCACACATAAGGGATTGGCACTAACATCCACAAATAAGGGAAGATAGACCTCTCTTTTTTTCAGTCTTTGTTACTTCACTTAGTATTTAAGTTTCTAGTTCCATTCACTTACCTGCAACTTTCATGACTCCATCTTTCTTTAGTGCTGTGTAGAACTCCACTGTGTCAATGTGCCACATTTTCTTTTTTGTTTTTCTAACTGACAAATTTTTATTGAGTTTTTGTGCATTTCATATAATACATCTTAATCAAATTTAGACTCCTCCCCTTCCCTGCCCCCTCACCCCGCCACCAGATTTCAGGTAATCTGTCATATATGTTAAGTCCTATCCCATCAAGTATTTGTATCCAGATGTTCTTCAATGCAAGTTCATTCACTGACATCTAGTCAGCCTATCTAAAGTCACTCCCTTAAAGGGGATCTATTTCCCCTCACCCCACAGCAATCAGTTGCCAATATTTCCTTGGCTAGGGTTGGGGCCTGCTGCCCATTTCCCCTGTTCTATGCTGGGTTTTTGTCTGATTGAGTCATCATGGGTCTTGTGTACACTGTCACCACTGTTGCAAGTTCCTGAGGAAGTTCCCAGAGGCCTCTCTCAGCTCCCTCTTCCCCAATGGCCCCAAAATAATGTACCACATTTACATTACCCATTTGTCAGTTGACAGACATTTAGGTTGTTTCCATCTCTTAGCTATTGTGAGGACAGCAGCAACAGACATGGATGTACAGGTGTCTCTACAGTAGGATGAGTCCTTGGGTACATGCCAAGGAGTGGTATCACTGAATTATATGGTAGACTCATTTTCAGTTTTTTGAGAGTTCTCCACACTGCTTTCCATAGTGGCTACATGAGTTTGCATCTCAACCAGCAGTGAATGAGCGTTCCCCTTTCCCCACACCCTCTCCAGCATTTCATGTCTTTTGGTCTCTTGCTCTTAGCCAGTCTGAGTGGTATAAAATGAAATCTTAGAGTGGTTTTGACTTCCATTTCTCTAATTAGTAAAGATGTTGAACACTTTTTAGGGTGGTTTTTAATCATTTTTAGTTCTTCATTTGAGAACTCTCTGTTTAGGTCCTTAGTCTATCTTTTTATCAGGTCATTTATTTTCTATCTACTTTGTTTTTTTAGTTCTATGTATATTATGGTTATTAAGCCTCTGTCAGATGTGTAGCTGGTGAAGATTTTCTCACACTCAGTGGGTTTCCTCTTCACTTCCTTGGTTGTTTCTTTTGCTGTACAGAAGCTTTTTAGTTTAATGAGGTCCTAGTTGTTGATTGTTGACTTTAATGCCTGAGCAACTGATGTCTAATTTAGAAAGTCCTTTCCTATTCCTATATATTCTCAGGTGTCTGTTAGCAGATACATATTATTGAACATTGTAAATGTCTGAACATTGCAAGTTCACATGTTATATTACATCCCTGAGAGAAACATAAGTTTATAAAGACCACATGACACATGAAAAAGGTGGTTCAGAGAACATCAATGTCTGTCATATGTCACACACCTTTGAGATGATAAGTTGGAGTGAAGGTAAGTGACAGAGCACTTACCAAACATGTTCGAGACTCTGGGTTCTATTCTTTGAACAGCAATAGTAATTTTTTTAAGTAGAGATAAGTTTTACCTACGTTTATATGAAACCTCCCCCTTCCTGATTTCCAGGCTCCAACAGTACCTATCTTTTACCATATATAAGAGGAACATCAATTGTCTGGGATAAGGAAATCATTGAGAACTTAGAGTCCCAGGTGACGTATTGCACAAATCTGATTTGGTGGTCAATGGAGCCACCAAGTGAGACATAAAAGATACCACAACATCCCCATACTCACCTCCTTTCCCAGGAACCACAATTTCTTACCCTAACCTCATGCTTGCTCCTCATGAGAGTGGTAACTGTGAATACATGAGCTCATTAAGGAAGGCTAGGACCACATTTTGGCAACTGAAGGGAGAAGAGTCTACTTAAGAGCTGTGGACAGGATGAAGCTTGACCAATAATTGTCCATCTCTTTCTTTTACCTCTAGAGTCCAAGAAGCAAGGTTACAGAATGGAGAACTCCATCCGGATGGCCATGGCAGGACTGATCCTTGTGGTTCTCCTGGTGATACTAGCTGAAAACTGGCACAGTCAGGAGGCATCACACCATGAAGACTGGCACAACTTGGATGCACAGAGCCAGAACAAACAGGAGCATCCAACCTAGTGGCTGCAGGTAAACCCTGGAAACCACAGGTGGAGATGCATGTTGCAAAACAAGAAGAGCCACTGAAGAGACTGGATCCACTAGCAGACTGCTGTCCTTTGAACGTGAAATGACACACACATGCCCACATGTCTACATGTCCCCAGCTGGCGGCACTGTTTAGGGAGGTGTGTGTGGAACCTTCAAGACGTGGTCAATGTAGGACACTAGGGGCCAGCCTTTGAAGGTTGTATTCACTTCTGGGTTTCATTTGGGTCTTTGCTTCCTGGCTCTGTTGCCACGTGTGGAGCTCCACCACACACTCCCTCTGCTAGGAATCTGCTCCTGCCACAAGCCTTGCTGGTGTACTGGAATACACCCCCCAAAACCATGAACCGAAATAAACCTTAGCTTCCTGTCAGGTGACAAGAAAATTAACTAATACACAGAGCCATCAGATAGTGTGGCCCTACATGGATCTGATATTATCTATTCTCTA